GGAGCTGTGTGTGTGCCCGTATGTGTACATGTAAGTGAGTTTCAAAGACAAGCAAATCGCCAAACTGCTCAGGGCACAAACTGCTGTGTTATGAGGCTGAATTATTGCGTTACTGGGCACTCACTAACAACTCTTTCTCTCCACATCATAAAAGCAATACTGGTCACAAAACGAGGGTTTAGTAGCTATTTCATCTGCAGATAAGCATAACATGACCCCAGTCAGACACTCCCTCTCTCATTCCCCAAAACCTCAAACAGGGATCATTCCCCTCTCCGCACTAGCCATTGATGGGAACAGGAGCAATGCCCTAACACTGCCTGGTAAGGGTCGGACGCAAGTAAAATAAAACCCCTTACATTTGATACAGTGGCGTATCATGTAATAAAGGTGTCTCAAAGCGCACTGACCGTGCATTTTCTACATGAACACGGCAGCCAGTTTCCACACAGCAGCTTCCCACAAACAGCCATGGAGTGAATGACTCATTTTGTTTAACCAGGGATAGCTTTTAAATTTTTTTTTAATCAATTTATTCAATTATTTATTTATTTTTACACACACACACGTGCGCTAAGAGTTGTTAAGGTCTGGAGTGCACTGTCTGAAAGGCTGGTGGAAACAGATTCAATAACAACCTTCAAAAGAGAATTGGATGCGTACTTGTAAAGGAAAAAAAATTGCAAGGATATGGGGAAAGAGCGGGGGAGTGAGAGTGAGTGGGCAGCTCTTCCAAAGAGCCGACACTGGCACGATGGGCCGAATGGCCTCTTTCTGTGCTGCAACATTCTATGATTTTATCTGCGGCCAGGACACTGGGAGAGAGAATCTCCCTTCCCTTTTCCAACAGCGCCGCGGGATCCTTAACAGGCACAGACGGGACCTCGGTTTAACATCTCATCAGAAGGACGGGGCCTCTGACAATGCAGCGTGACAATAGAATATAGAGACGGGGCGACAAAGGAAGGATCGGCTGATAGCAATGATAGCGCTTCCCGCTGCTTGTTGTTGCTGTTTTTTCGGTGATTACTGCTGTATAGCTCGTTGAAGGGTTTCGACGGGATGTAAAACTGTCACGTAACAGGACGTATCAGAAGGAGTCTCCTCGATTAGGAAGGGAAACTGTGTGTGTTTCTGGTCAGCATACTGTGCGCTCCAGCAGCAACATTGCCCGTCTATCTTCAGGCTCCAGCATCAAAATGCCCTTTCCCCCAATTGGTGCCCCGATGCCCTTCACCCAGATGTTCGTTGTGAAGACATCAGGTCTTCAACAACAACAATAACAAATTTCACACACACGCCTTTCATATCGGGAGGATGTTGGATAGCTAAGGGTTTCACCCGAGCCGGGGGTTGGAAGCTCTTGGCCAAATTATTGTTGTTTATTCCTTACCTGAGGTGGTCAGCCTGGCACAGTCACTCACACTCGTGCCTCTGAGTCAGAAGGTTGTGGGTTCAAGCCCCTCGTGGGGACTTTGAGCTCACAGTCCAGGCTCAGTGTCGGGAGAGGGTGTGTGGGGGGGGAAGCATTGCATTTTTAGATATGTCATCCTTTAGATAAGACCCTAAAATAGGTCCTGTCTGCCTGTCCAGGTGGACGATAAAGATCCCGCAGCACTGTTTGAGACGAGAAGGGAGTTTCTCTCCCCCAGATACAACTGGTCGCTTGCTTGATGGCTGTTTAACACGGCATTGGTGAGTGCAAATGGGCTGCTGCTGTTTCACTCACAAATACTGTCAATCCACTTTGCGGGAAGTTTGTGAGACGTTATTGACGGGATCAGTCACAAAATCAAATGCAACTCTTCATTATTATTATAATTATTATCCAGTCAGAGGTACTGTACACAGCTGTGTAGCGGTTGCCTAGTAACCAGGGTATCATAAGACAGTTGCTATCAGTAGACTCAATGGGACGTCATGCGTCCAGCTGGGAGGGTTCGAGAGCTGTCACTTGTCAGCGTGTGGATGCAGATCAACGCTTCAAAGGGTCCAACAGCACCAGAATCAAACAACATGCTGCAGACAAGGGCCTTACATTTCCTTCCAGGAAACGACTTGTCAGGAATCTGCCCGAGTATCGATTTACACTCTGACCTTCAACGAGAAGGATTCGGGCCTTGATAAAATACAACCCCGCCACCAACCCACAGCCGTTCTCAACAAGCTCAGCGACAAAGGCATCATGCGTTCGCTTTCTGGGTGGATTGTGTGTTAGTGAAGTTCCCCCTTTGACAGCACCACAGTTGAGGGGTTCAGGAACCACCGGGGTTGTATTGTAATGGATTGCGATCGATTGCCACTCAGTGCCTCTGCACTCCCTGTTCTCCAAGGTGACGTGCCTGGCAATGGAGTGTCGATATCGAGCCCATCCTCTGTGACGGTCTCTGGTCCGGTTCCTGAGCCAGTCGGGTGCGCAGTATTCCAGGGCACTGCTGTTGACAGCGCAGCCCACCCTGGCTCATCGGCAGGACCTGGGAGGGCAAACCAGTCACTGTGGCCAGGGAATGCTCCCACTCAACCTGGAGGAGTGGGGTGCTGGGGGGGATGAGCAAACAGGGCCGAGCTCAGACGTGTTTGAATGATGTGAGGGAGGGAGGGAGTCGGAGCCACTGCGGGATGAATAACTGCCTGATTTTATGAATCAACTTGACCTAAATATTTTAATAGAACAACTCCCTTCACAACTTTTCCTTTTAACTGTGTCTAGGCCTTTGTTGTGTAATAAATCGTCCTTTGCTCAAACTGTTCCAAGTCAAGGTCGGCTCTGAGGGTTTTCCCCTGGTTTAGCTGGTGGTCTCCAGCGGTTAACCCAACCCTTGCTCCTGGCTGCCCAGGCCTTGGCGCTTGTCATTAGGGTAACATTCCACTTACACATTTATACTTCAACTTAACCCAAACATTATATATACTTGTGTGTCAGCAGTGCTCTCGCCTCAGAGTCAGAAGGTTGCAAGACCATCAACCTCTCCCTGTCATCTGGCGCTGTTCCTTTCCTCCCTCAAAAAGCCACTATCACCCCCACCTTGAAGAAACCTTCCCTTGACCCATCACAGCTATCCAGCTACCGGCCCATTCAAACCTCCCTTTCCTATCCAAGGTCCTTGAGAGAGCCGTTGTCTCCCAGCTTCGCTCTTTCCTATCCTCCCACTCCCTCCATGAACCCCTCCAATTGGGTTTGGAGGGATTCATGGAGAAACTGCTCTGGTCAAGGCCACAAACGACATCCTGACCATGTGCGACCAGGGCTCCCTCTGTCTCCTCGTCGTCCTTGACCTCTTCCCTGCCTTTGACACTGTGGACCATTCAATCCTCCTCCACCGCCTCTCCTCCCACTTCAATCTTCAAGGTTCTGTCCTTGATTGGTTCAGGTCCTACCTTTCACACCGCCTCCACTTTGTTGCAGCAAACGGCTTTTCTTCCAGCCCCCGCACCGTCTTGTGCGGTGTTCCTCAGGGCTCTGTCCTCGGTCCCCTCCTCTTCACCCTCTACATGCTCCCCCTTGGTGACATCATCTGCAGACATGGGGTAAATTTCCACATGTATGCGGATGACACCCAACTCTACCTCTCTGCCTCCACTCTCAACTGCAGGACTACTGAGGTCCTGACCGACTGCCTGTCCGACATAAAGTTCTGGACGAGGGACAACTTTCTCCAAGTCAACGTCTGCAAGATCGAGGCCCTCCTGATTGGCTCGCGCCAGAGCCTCCGCACCTCAGGCGCTGGCAGCATCAGCCTCCACAGCTGCACATTCAACCTCACTAAGCTGGTCAGGAACCTGGGTGTTTGACCCTGAACTGTCCTTTTTCCCCAACATCCGCGCCATGACCAGCACTGCCTACCACCACCTCCGCAACACTGCCAGACTCCGCCACTGCGTCACCCCTCAGGCTGGCGAAACCCTCACCCACGCATTCGTCACATCAAGGCTCAATTATGGAAATTCCCTCATCGGTCTTCCCAACTCTTCCCTTCACAACCTGCAGATCATCCAAACTCTGCAGCTCATGTACTCTCACACACCAGCCTCCGTGACCCCATCACTCCCACCCTCCCCCGACTCCACTGACTCCCCATCGCCCAGAGGATCGAGTTCAAGATCCTTGTCCTCACTTTCAAGGTCGTCCATGGCCTTGCCCCCTCCTACCTCTCTGTCCTGCTGACTCCCTACCAACCTGCCCGCTCCCTCCGCTCATCAGGCTCCGGCCTGCTCCATGTCTCCTGCCCGACCCGCCCTACCATCGGTGTCCGGGCTTTCAGCCTCTCTGCCCCCCCCTCTGGAACCCCATCCCACAGTCCTTTCGCCTCGTTTCCTCCCTTGCCTCCTTCAAAGCCGGTCTCAAGACTCTTCTCTTCGATCGTGCCTTTGGTCTCCCTCTCACCTCTCTCCCTTCCATCACCCCTACACCACCCCTCCCGCATGCTCGGGCCCCAACACCTGGCTGTTCAGCGCTTTGGGACATTCTCCCAACGTGAAAGGCGCTCTATAAATGTAATTTTGTTGTTGTTGTTGTGGGTTTCAAGCCCCATGTTGGGGACTTTTGGAAAAAGAAGGGAGTTTCTCTCTCTTGCCTGGTGTCCTGGCCAACAACACCCCAGATACAATCGGCCATTGACTTCATGGCTGTTTGTGGGTCATCGCTGTATGAATACTGGCTGCTGGGTTAACTTACAAACAGACAGATGCTGCACTTTATAGTAAATCCTGCGCAGGGATTTGAGACATTTTGACGATGTGGTGAGGCGCAGTGCCAAATGCGAGGATTACCATCATTATACAATAATAAAATATGAAACTGCAAAAGCAAACTGCAGACAACCTGGAAGCTGTGTCAGTGTTTCCCTCCAGCCAGGGCACAACTTAGCATTTCATGTCCAAATGATGTGAAATCACAGCCCTGTTGATGAGCGGGAACGTGGTCAATATCGGTAAACACGGAGGAGAATGTTAATCTGCCAGCCCTGTGTGAGGTGAAATGAAGAAGAGAAACAACTTGCATTTGTGTAGCTCCTCAGCACATCAGCCCTCGCAGTCTCTCACCAGCTGTCACTGTGGAGGGGAGTCGATTGTAGACAAATGTGGCAGCCATTTACACCAGTGCTGGCCTGGGAAGGGAATACAGTGTCACTGGCTGCACAAACTCATCCAGGAAACAACAATTCGGCACAGAAACAAACAAAGGAAAACGGTAGGAAAAATACTGCAGACCCTGGAAATTTGAAATGAAAACAGAAGTCGCTGGGAACACTCAGCGGGTCATCAACCTGAAACGTTAACTCACTTTCCTCTCTCCATAAGATGCTGTCTGACCTTCTGAGTGTTCCCAGCAGCGACTTCTGTTTTTATATTAGAGGAAAATAGGAATCGGACAAAGCCATTCTGCCCGCACAGTCTGTTCCACCAGTTTAATGTATAACATGCACACACACTCACTCACTCACAAACACACACACACAAATAATAATATAATAATAATAATCCTTGCATTTGATATTGCGCTTTTCAAGTCGGGAGGAAGTCCCAAAGCGCTTCACAGAACACACTGTAAAGTGAATTGACTGTATATTTGTGGGCGAACGCGGCAGCCAATTGCGCACAGCAGTGTCCCACAAACAGTCGTAGATTGAAAATGACCAATTTTTATTATTGTTTTGTTTTGGAGGGATTATTATTAGGCTCTGTGTGGAGTAAGGAAACTTGCCCAAGGTTTCGCCCTCTGCCTGGAATTGAACTCAGGTCTCTCACTTGCAAAGCGAGTGCTCTAACCACTGAGCTACAGGACTCCACAAACACACATGTATGCACAAAATAATATTTTCTGGATATCTCGTAGATCTGGCCAACAATCCCCCAGATACAATTGCATGTTCACTCCATAGCTGTTGCTGCGTGACAACAGGCTGCCATGTTCGCCCATAAAATACACAGTCACTACACTTTACAGTCAATCGTGTGAAACGCTTTGAGACCTTTTCGACATATAACAAACGTAAGGCTTATGATTATCGTTATGATTATAGTTATTAATGCCCGCTGAATGGAGATCTGTCACAGGCTCACACTGGACTCAATCCACAACAGTGTCGGAACCCACCGCAACAATTTACATTTAAACTGTCAGGAAGAGAGCTCAAAACACTTCACACACGCTGTAACCCAGAGCCAGAGACAGTACAAACTGGCCGCTTCAATATCAAACTGCCACCAATGGTCGCCACCCCTACACTGCTGGGCTAATTCAGGTTGAAGTGTGATAATAACGTTGGGTGGATGTCTCAAAGCACTTTCACAGCAGGGCGGGGGGTGGGGGGGGAGAAATGTCTGAAAGTGCAGCCGAAAACGAGGGTCTTGAGATGGACCTTGAAAGAGGCAAGGGAGGGGGCAAGGCGGAGGGACTCCAGGGTAGAGATCCCGAGAGCGGGTGCAGAAAGGTTGAATGTCTGACCGCCGATCGTGGAGCAGGGGTACGGAGCAGGCTGGTGCCCACTGAGCGGAGGGAGTGGGCGGGTCGATTTGAGGAGGTTACAGAGATCGGGTGGGGGTGAGACCGTGGAGGGATGCACAGAGCGGGAGATGCAACAAGGAAATAAGTCATTTAGCCAAAGTAGTCCATGACAGTTTTTATGCTCCACACAATTCTTTGCCCCTCTCTATACCCATCTTCCACACCCCTCTATTCCTCCTCCAATACTCTATTCCCTTCTCCTCTCCCACACCACGCTCTCTATTGCACTCTCCAACTCTCCTCTATTCCCCTCTCCCACACCCTCTATTCCCCTCACACTCTCCCCTTGTGCGTGAAGACCTTCCTCCTAACCTCCCTGTTAGAGCCGTTATGGACTGACTTATCCTAATAATGTCTCTGGACAGGGACTCACCATCAACACCATTGTTAGCGATAAATACTATTAATATAGAATATTATGAGTTGGGTAAATGTAAGTCAATGTTTGCAGTAAATCTCTGAGTTACAAACACATTCGATAAAACGATGTTTGACCATCCGCACTGGGCCAAGAAGCTCAGCTGATTACTTCTACACCACTGTCACCCTCAGCTCTCCGCTCCCCGGCCACCCCAACTCTTCCCTCCACAAGCTGCAGATCATCCAGAGCTCTGGAGCTCGTGTCCTCTCCCACACCAGGCTCCGTGACCCTATCGCCCCAAACCCCTCGCCCAGCTCCACTGGATCCCCATCCCCCAGAGATTGAGATCCTCGTCCTCACCTGTAAATCCCTCCACCATCTCACCCCCACCCGACCCGCTTTCGAATCGTCCAAAGAGCGGACTCCTGTAGCTTAGTGGTTAGAGCGCTCATTTTTCAATTTCTGGGTTCAAATCTCGGGCAGGGTGAAACCTTGGTAAGTTTCCTTACTCCGCACCTACCAGTAACTGGGAACCTGGTTGTTATTCGATTGTTAGTTGATTGGCGGATGGCTTTTCCGGAATAAGGCGCTATGTCAAATGCAAGGATTATATTATCATTATTATTAAGAGCAATGTCTTTCACTGAATCTCTGGCAACTTTCCCCACCCCCACCCCCCACCCTTCTTCCTGCCCGTACTCCCATCTCCACCTGCCCACAGCAAACCATCGACACTAATAACAGCAGCAAAACCACCAACAACAACCACGACAACAATTAAAAAGATTTAAACAGATGAGTTGGTTGGGCAGAGGAATAGCAGTTGAAATAATACAATGTGGACAAATGTGAGGTTAAACAATTTTCGGGGGAGAAGGATAAGGAGATCAAGTATATGTTGGGATAAAATATTGAAAGCAGTGGAAGAGCAAAGAGACCTGGGGTTAATGTACATACACCCTTAAAGGTGGGATGGTGGACAAAGCTGTCCAAAAAGCTAATTGTCTTAAAGCTAGGTTTTATAAAAGCATTAAATAAATCACCAGTTAGACCACAGTTAGAATATTCTGCCTAGTATTGGTCAGATCATCTTAGGAAACAGAGGAGAAGCAGATGAGATTTACTAGGATGATAACAACACCAAATTACATTTACACAGCGCCCTTCACATCGGGAGGACGTCCCAAGGCGCTGGACAGCCAGGGATTTGGACCCGAGCAGTGGGTTGGGATCAGAGGAAGCGGAGGGCAGGGAGGGTCAGGGTAGGAGGGTGGTCAACAGCCTGGTCGAAGAGGAGAGTCTTGAGGCGCGTTTTGAAGGAGGCAAGGGAGGGAGTGAGGCAAAGTGACTGTGGGATGGAGTTCCAAAGGTGGGGGCAGAGAAGCTGAAGATCTGACCACCGATGGTGGGGCTGGCCGGGCAGGGGACATGAAGCAGCCCGAAGCCTACAGCCCAGAGGGAGCGGACAGGTTAGCAGGTCCCAGAAGTAGGGAAGGAGCAATAACACCAGGGATGAGTAGTTTGTCCTATGAGAGGTGACGGGAGAAACTGGGACGTTTCTTGCTGGAACAAAGCAGGTTGAGGGGTGACCTGATCGAGGTCGTTAAAAGGATGATGGTTTTGATAAGGAGACACTATTCCTCCTGGTCGGTGAGTCAGCGACTAGGGGGCAACAAAGTAAGATAGCTAGTAACCAGCAAATGGAGGCTAGGAGAAATGTTTTTGACACCGAGCGGTTAGGATAGGGAATGTCCTGCCAGGAACAACGGATAAGGCAGAATCCATATTAGCTTTCAAGAACTAGGAACTAGATAAATATCTTAAAACGAGTCAGCTACAGGGGTGTGGATTGCTCCAAAAAAAAAAGCCAGCACACACACTCTGGGCTGAATGACCTTCTGCTCCAACGCCAAGAACAGCGTCGACTAAACACCATTAAAAAAAATTAACATATAAAAGTTCACAAACAGTCGTGGATTGAGTGACCACTTTTTTTTAAAGATTTGTGCAAAACCGTACACGGGCTTAATATCAATTAATATAATAATAATTATTGAGTGACCAAACAATTTTCATTTTTTTCGAAGTAATTATTACCGCCCCGGAAAAGTGATCTGCCAATCGACTAACAGCCGGGTTCCTACTTACTGCTAGGCGGGTGGAATAAGGAAACTTGCCCAATGTTTCGCCCTGGTCCTCTCACTTGCGAGGCGAGCGCTCTAACCACTAAGCCTCAGGACTCCAGATAGTGGGAGAGATAGAGAGAGGGAGAGACAGAGAGGTCCAGAGGCTTGGACTCTTTGTTGTACTCGCGCAAAGAGGTGAAGGCAAATGGAGAGAAAATAAGACGATACAAACCCTGAGAATAAGAGTCACAAAACAAAAATAAAACTGTTTCCATCCACAGAAAGGTTCACAGACATCACAGAACTCCCACTGAAAGGTGAGAAGGAACCTTCTCCTTTGCCAAAGAAATAACAACTTGCATTCACACATCTCTCACACACACACACATCTCACACACACACACATCTCACACACACACATCTCACACACACATCTCACACACACACATAGTACAAGTGCACACACACACATTAACCAAAGGGAACGGAGGGAGGTGAGGGAGGGAGCGATGTGGGGGGGGTGAAAGAATAAAATATACGATTGACAAATAAGTAAAGCAAGAACACAGAATATTAACTGAAGCCAAGAAGAGGAAAAACTAATTTAACAGCTTACAAATTCCCTCAACAACAACAACGACGACGACAACTTGTATTTATATAGCGCCCTCCACGCCGGACGGCATCTCAGAGCGCTTCACAGTAACGGACCCCGGGGCCGAGCCGGGGGGAGGGGGGGGAAGGTGACCAAAGGCGCGGTCGAAAAGAAAGGACTTCAGCAGAGACCTGAAAATGGGAAGGGAGGGAGTGAGACGAAGGGAGTGAGGAAGGGAATTCCAGAGCCTCGAGGCATAGTGGCTGAAGGCACGGCCGCCGAGGGGGGAGCGGAGGACTCGGGGGACGAGGAGGAGGCCAGACCCGGAGGAACGAAGGCAATGGGCACTGTTGTGAGGAGAGAGGTCAGAGAGGTAGGGGTGGGGGCAGAGGGGTGGAGGGATTTGAAGCCAAGGGTGATAAAAAACTCAGCATATATAGAAAAGACAAGTGAGCAAATCGGATTACAATAAATGGCATTTTAAAATCAATCTCACAGCTTCTGAAGCACAATCTTTCTCAGGAATTCGCTTCTTTTTTTAAACATTTTAACACGAATGATAACACGGTCACTCACTCCAATGGGACACTGCTGTGCGCAATTGGCTGCCGCGTATCGCCCACAAGACATATATATATATATATATATACAGTCAATTCACTTTGCAGTATGTTCTGTGAAGTGCTTTGAGAGGTCTTGAAGACGTGGTAAGGCACAGCAGGAGGGCGGACAATCACATACAATATGGTACACAGTACTGTCTGCACACAAGCATTCACAGGAGAATTCTTTGCAATGGTCCTGCCCAGCCCGGCACTGCCCCCCCAGCCCGGCACTGCCCCCCCCCCCCCAGCCCGGCACTGCCCCCCAGCCCGGCACTGCCCCCCCCCCCAGCCCGGCACTGCCCCCCCCCACCAGCCCGGCACTGCCCCCCCCCCAGCCCTGCCCCCACCCCCCAGCCCGGCACTGCCCCCCCAGCCCGGCACTGCCCCCCCAGCCCGGCACTGCCCCCCCAGCCCGGCACTGCCCCCCCCAGCCGGCACTGCCCCCCCCCCCCAGCCCGGCACTGCCCCCACCCCCAGCCCGGCACTGCCCCCCCCCAGCCCGGCACTGCCCCCCCAGCCCGGCACTGCCCCCCCAGCCCGGCACTGCCCCCCAGCCCGGCACTGCCCCCCAGCCCGGCACTGCCCCCCCAGCCGGCACTGCCCCCCCCCCCCAGCCCGGCACTGCCCCCCCAGCCCGGCACTGCCCCCCCAGCCCGGCACTGCCCCCCCAGCCCGGCACTGCCCCCCCAGCCCGGCACTGCCCCCCAGCCCGGCACTGCCCCCCCAGCCCGGCACTGCCCCCCCAGCCCGGCACTGCCCCCCCAGCCCGGCACTGCCCGGCACTGCCCCCCCCCCCCAGCCCGGCACTGCCCCCCCCCCAGCCCGGCACTGCCCCCCCCCCCAGCCCGGCACTGCCCCCCCCCCAGCCCGGCACTGCCCCCCACCCCCAGCCCGGCACTGCCCCCCCCCCAGCCCGGTACTGCCCCCCCCCCCCAGCCCGGCACTGCCCCCCCCCCCCCCCAGCCCGGTACTGCCCCCCCCCCCCAGCCCGCCCCCCCCAGCCCGGCACTGCCCCCCCCCCCAGCCCGGCACTGCCCCCCCCCCAGCCCGGCACTGCCCCCCCCCCCCAGCCCGGCACTGCCCCCCCAGCCCGGCACTGCCCCCCCCCCAGCCCGGCACTGCCCCCCCCCCCAGCCCGGCACTGCCCCCCCAGCCCGGCACTGCCCCCCCCCCAGCCCGGCACTGCCCAGAGTCCAGCCCAACAAGGCACCAATCCTGGGGTGGGGGTAGATGAGTTGCCTGATCATCTCGGTGTGTTACCTTCTCACACTCGGGGGCTCTGGTCATGTCGCAGAGGAGACCAACAGCTGATTGATCATCTGGAAACAGCCCCAGCGGAGCACTGCCCCCCCCACCCCCCACCCACACCCCCACCCACACAGCCCCAGATACACAGCCCCAGATACACAGCCCCAGCTACACACACACCTCCAGTACACACACACACAGCTGCACACACAGCTACACACACACAGCTACACACACACACACAGCTACACACACACACAGCTACACACACACAGCTACACACACACAGCTGCACACACACACACACACAGCTACACACACACAGCTACACACACACAGCTACACACACACACACACACACAGCTACACACACACACACACACAGCTACACACACACAGCTACACACACACACACACGCACACACACACAGCCACACACACACACACAGCTACACACACACACACACACAGCTACACACACACAGTTACACACACACAGCTGCACACACACACACACACAGCTACACACACAGCTACACACACACACAGCTACACACACACAGCTACACACACACAGCTACACACACACACACACACACAGCTACACACACACAGCTGCACACACACAGCTACACACACACAGCTACACACACACAGCTACACACACACAGCTACACACACACACAGCTACACACACACAGCTACACACACACACAGCTACACACACACGCAGCTACACACACACACACACACACACACACAGCTACACACACACACACAGCTGCACACACACACACAGCTACACACACACACAGCTACACACACACGCAGCTACACACACACGCACTACACACACACACACACACACACACCACAGCTACACACACACACACAGCTACACACACACACAGCTACACACACACAGCTACACACACACACACACAGCTACACACACACATACACACACAGCTACACACACACAGTTACACACACACACACAGCTACACACACACACAGTTACACACACACACACAGCTACACACACAGTTACACACACACAGCTGCACACACACACACACACACACAGCTACACACACAGCTACACACACAGCTACACACACACAGCTACACACACAGCTACACACACACAGCTACACACACACACACACAGAGCTACACACACAGCTACACACACACACACACACACACACAGCTACACACACACACACACACACAGCTACACACACAGCTACACACACACACACACACACACACACACACACACACACACACAGCTACACACACACACAGCTACACACACACACACACACACACAGCTACACACACACACACACAGCTACACACACACACACACAGCTACACACACAGTTACACACACACACACAGTTACACACACACACAGTCGGAGCTGCACACACACACAGTTACACACACAGTTACACACACACACACGGCCGGAGCTCCAGGCGGTGGAGGGGAGACGGTGTGCGGTGACCGCGAAGCTCTGCACTGCCCTCACACTCACTGCTCCGCTGCCCGTCCTCAGCGCTGCAGCCGGAGCGGCGCGGAGCCCCGCCCCCAAACAGCCATTGGCTCCCTGACTACGGCTGTCTGTCAGCTCAGCCAATCACAGCCCTGTGTGCCAACTCAGCCAATCACAGCCCAGTCTGTCAGCTCAGCCAATCACAGCCCATCTGTCAGCTCAGCCAATCACAGCCCTGTGTACCAACTCAGCCAATCACAGCCCATCTGTCAGCTCAGCCAATCACAGCCCTGTGTACCAACTCAGCCAATCACAGCCCAGTCTGTCAGCTCAGCCAATCACAGCCCTGTGTACCAACTCAGCCAATCACAGCCCAGTCTGTCAGCTCAGCCAATCACAGCCCAGTGTGCCAACTCAGCCAATCACAGCCCAGTCTGTCAGCTCAGCCAATCACAGCCCAGTCTGTCAGCTCAGCCAATCACAGCCCATCTGTCAACTCAGCCAATCAGAGGCCTATCAGCTCAGCTGAAGCAGTGCACTGTGCTGACAGACAGACACACACACAGACACACAGATAGACACACACACAGACAGACAGATACACACACAGACACACACACAGATAGACACACACACAGACACACACAGACACAGACACACACAGACAGACACACACACAGACAGACACACAGATACACATACAGACACACAGACACACAGACAGACACACACACAGACAGACACACAGACAGACACACAGACACACAGACAGACACACAGACAGACACACAGACAGACACACAACAGACAGACACACAGACAGACACACAGACAGACACAGACAGACACACAGACAGACACACAGACAGACACACAGACACACAGACAGACACACACACAGACACACACAGACAGACACACACACAGACAGACACACAGACAGACACACACAGACAGACACACACACAGACACACACAGACAGACACAGACACACAGACAGACACACACACAGACAGACACACAGACAGACACACAGACAGACACAGACACAGACAGACACACACAGACAGACACACACACAGACAGACACACAGACAGACACACACACAGACACACACAGACAGACACACACAGACAGACACACACACAGACAGACACACAGACAGACACACACACAGACACACACAGACAGACACACACACAGACAGACACACAGACAGACACACAGACAGACACACACAGACAGACACACACACACAGACAGACACACAGACAGACACACACAGACAGACACAGACAGACACACACAGACAGACAGACACACACACACACAGAGCTGTTCAATGGTTAAGGACAAAATCCGATTCAGGCGACAATAATAATCCTTAGGTTTACAACGATTATTATAGGTATTACGGCAAAGCTTTGCGGCTGATGGTCAGCAGTGACTGGTCCGGTGTTTGGTTTGCAGGGCTGACAGCTGCTGAGTGTGGGGTCAGCAGCGACTTCTCAAGCTCCTCACCTCCAACTGGGGAACCGTGGCTCAATGGGAAGGGACGTGTGCCCGAGCTGTGGGCAGGAAGATGCTCTCACGCATTTCATGCTGTTGCCCACCCGGAAGCTGCCGTACACCAAGTGGGGGCTCAAACACACGCAGTTCGATGTCAGATGACGAACCAGCCCTTATCCCTCCCGCCCTTGCCGTTGAGTCGTGGCAAGAAATGATCCTGACGTTCCGTTGCCAAACATGTCAACCTGGAGCCAGTTCAGCTTCAAGGAACCGTAATTCTGTTTTTATAAAATGAGCACCATCTCTAATCTCACTGGAAATGGATTTAAAATCTTACCATCAGGAACGTGGAGGAAGTTAATTCGGGATTCAATACTCTGTGGGTCTCTGAATGAACGGGCAAAATGAGATGATGTTATCAGTGTAAGGTCGGGCAGACACAAGGACCTCACCGCTGAATACACAAAAGCAGGTATGGTCTCATAAGCCCAACTGATAATAATAATCCTTTCATTTGATAAAGTGCCTTATTCCATCATGGAAACGTCCCAAAGCTCTTCACAGGATTTGACTCACAGTGAAGTTTGTTAAATTGTACACAAATGTGGCACAGCTACATCCCCCAAAGAACCATTAAGGGAGTGACCAATTCTATCTGGGGGATTGTTGTCCAGGACACCGGGAGAGAGAAACTCCCTCCTCTTTTCCAACAGATCTTTAACATCCACCGGCACCTCTGACAATGCATCGCTCCACCCAGCACTGCACTGGAGTGTCAGCCTGGTCATATGGGTTCCAAATCGTGAAGTGGGCTTCAAACCCATAACCCTCTGACACAGAGCGATCATGCTCCCAACTGAGCCAGGCTGACACACACACACACAGTGACTGAGCCCGGCTGACACACACCCACACACACAGTGACTGAGCCAGGCTGACACACACACAGTGACTGAGCCAGGCTGACACACACAGTGACTGAGCCAGACTGACACACACAGTGACTGAGCCAGGCTGACACACACACACACAGTGACTGAGCCAGGCTGACACACACACAGTGACTGAGCCAGGCTGACACACACACAGTGACTGAGCCAGGCTGACACACACACACAGTGACTGAGCCAGGCTGACACACACAGTGACTGAGCCAGACTGACACACACAGTGACTGAGCCAGGCTGACACACACACACAGAGTGACTGAGCCAGGCTGACACACACACAGTGACTGAGCCAGGCTGACACACACACAGTGACTGAGCCAGGCTGACACACACAGAGACTGAGCCAGGCTGACACACACACAGTGACTGAGCCAGGCTGACACACACACAGTGACTGAGCCAGGCTGACACACACACAGTGACTGAGCCAGGGTGACAAATCACAGAGAAGACAAAGGCAGAAGCCAATCGGAGCCGGAAATCTCCTGCAAATGACATTCGCGATTAAAGATAAAATGAAAGGAAATAAGAGACAAAAATTGCATAAACCCAAAAAACCCACAAAAATAAATGGTGAGGTGTGATTAACAACAATTGTCATACCAGCACCGGGTGACGTTCTCTGTCTCAGGTGTTGATATCGTTGGGAGGAGGATGTGAGATGAACCAGCGCAGTGGGATGAAATCTCCTTTGCCATTCTCCTCTGAAACCTTCAATGTGGATTTGAATCCACCCACTCAGCTAGATGAATATCCGAGCCAAGCGCACTGATCTCCAGAGACTCCATTCCTTTTAATAAAATACGCAATCTCCTCTGCAAAACAGGGAGAGAGGCTGGGGTGATCAATGACAGCTTTGGAGCTGTGTGAGCGCAACGGTGCTGTCTGTGAGCATCGGCTCAGCACAACACCAAGGAAGGTCACCTCCGTGAGCACAAAGACATAATAATAATAATCCTTACGTTTCATACAGGGTTACACCAGCATCACACTCGTAGTGTTACTATACAGCAACTGTACATCCAATTTATACACAGCAATGTCTCAAAAACGGTGAATGACCATTTATTTTTAATTTCGGGGATTGTTGGCCAGGACACCGGGAGAAAGAAACTCCCTTATCTTTTCCAATAGTGACACGGGATTTTTAACATC